TTTTTTTTTTTTTTTTTTTTTTTTTTTTTTTTTTTTGTTGGCTTGATCAGTCTCTAGCTACATAAAATAACGTCTTCTGCTTCCTTGTTTGGGCCTAATATCAGACAATATATGTTTTCAAAATGTGGCCAGACAAATAAAAAAAGAAATCTACAGTAGCTGGATGTGAAACTCTTAGCATGGTTTACACTTCTTTGTTTTCAACTTGCTCGGGTAGCAGATAGTACTTGGCATGTTTTTTACATATGACCTGACAATATTAAGTGCAGAATCAGTCATTTAGGTTTGGATGTTTGTTTTTTGCAGAGTGGGAGAGGAGTAAAAACCCGTTTGGTTTTGTTTTTTTTTTTAACATTTACTATTAATAAAAGTTTCTCAAAAATTTGTGCTGTTGCCATAGTTGGAGATAGATTTTGAGTATCTGGACACAGTCTTGGACTATGGGCTGTAGACGTCTCTGCTTAGACAGAGCTTTGTAGAATATTGTCCCCACTGGTTCCTTCCCACCTGAGGCATTCTATGATCCTGTAGCACTTGGCTTAATGGAATGAAATCCAGGACTGATGACTCTGCTGCTCCTTAAGTTATTATTTGTACAAGCACTGAGGATGTTGATCTTTGTGCAGGTGCTTTCTCTGAACAACGCTCAGGATGCTCACAATGGGTATCAGTCCCTTCTCGCTGAAATTAATGATCCAAACACCAAATACATCCTGAGAACTGCGAACCGGCTCTATGGAGAAAAGACATTTGAGTTTTTTGCAGTAAGTAGCCATTAAATTTTTTATTATTTTTATTATAATGCACTTGCTACCTCTTTCTCCTGGAGGTGAATGGAAGGCTTTTCATTCTGCTTTCCAAAATTTGTGCTGGGGGACAGGTGTGCAATAAATTATGCCTGAGTCTGGTGTCTGAACTTGTTGGAGAACCATCTTTAAATAATTTGTGTTCTGAGTGGACAAGTGATGCCAAGCAGGGTAAAGTCCAACATTCTCTACACTTGAGGGTTTTGTGATCCATTCATATATTTGGCTGTGGGACAAATGGTTGATGTATCTCTTAGCAAAAGTCTTTATAAAAAACTTACAAAATTATATGTCACGTCCCTGAAGCACAAAATAAAAACGAGGAAAAAACCCTATATCATTATCGATGAAGTGTAGAAGTTTGTAGTAAAATGCATAAGCCATAACAACACTAATGATTGCTAGTTCAA